AGATGATTAGATACCTGCATCGAGCAGTGCATGTTGTTGTTTAATAGGCACTCCTTGGAAAGAGAGTCCATTTTTCTCCAATCTTTTTTCGTGACTAGCGGCTTCAGATAGTTGGCAAGATCTACCGCTTGGAAAGTATATGGCACTCTTTTGAAACCGTAAGGATGACACTTCTTTTTCCATTAGGGTGTTGAGTGGGAGTCGGGTAAGTATTTCCCAAATTTCCATGGTCGGGTGACCATGGGGAAGGAACATCTTTCATCTGTTCGAATGGCGCTGGTGGAGAGGTAGCAGCTAGAGTAGAAGGAGAGGCGGTTGTGATTGGCTCAGAAGTTGGTGGTGGAGAAAGGTCAGGAATAGAACTCTTTTGACCGGAAGCAACAACAGGGTTTCGAAAACAAGATGCAACATTTTTGGCCAATCCCATTTCCTCGAAGAGCCCTTGAACTTCTTTTGGCTATGGAGTTTGAAGTTGTGGTGTTTGAAACTCACCCGGTTGAGCATCTGGTTGAGCTGATGAAGATCTTTTTCTTCTCAGAAGAAGAGTCACTTCATCATTGGTTTCTTCATCATCAAGGACCACTATAGCCAGTTGGGGTTCCTTTATATTTCTTCTCCCGGGTCCCAGCCGAAGAGGTAAATTTTCTCTTTGGTTTCTTATCTTTGAGTTGGGGACTCCGGGAGGAGGTGCCTTCATCGGAATCAAGAGTAGATTCACGAGCTCTTCTTTGGTTAAGGACATTTTTCAATGCCCTTTGAGCTTTGTCAAGGTCACCGAGAGCCTCGATGTCAGGGCAAACAACAGATCCCTTCGGAAGTCCTGTGTGGTACAAAATGATAGTTAACAAATTAACTCTAGGTCATGTTGAAATATTGAAAGAAGGGAAGAAGAACTTTTGTTTACCAAGGTTTTTGGCTTTCGACCCAAGTCTGGGGGACATTTCTTTCCACCTCCAGGATTCCGGTGTAGTAATATTCAAAATTTTTTGTACCCATTGGCCAGGTTCTGAATATGTGGTGGATCCCAATGAGTAGCTGAAATAAGGAAAATGCAAAGTTAACAAAGAAGGAAAATTGTTTTTAATATGGAAAGGTAAAGATAACCGGAGACTTACGGAAAAGGTTCCAAGATTCAGGAATAGCAGGTGCTGTTGTTGGAAGGATGTCCCTGGTAGCAATGACAACGAACAGTTCCATCCATCTACGGTCGTTGTCGTCGTCAATGTTGGTAAGGAGGGCATGATGGCCACATTTGCTAAGTTTTAGCACACCCCCCACGAATGATCTTTGGAGAGTAGATATTCTTCATGTATGCAAGATTTAGGGTTTCTCCGATCTCAGAGTACAATTGGCGGAGGCTAGCCACCGTACGTCATACTGATGGGCCTACTTGTGCCAAACAGATTTGGTACCGATGCCAAAATTCTACAATTATTGGGTCGATTCTTTTACCCACTTACAAAGTGAAGGGGTATGTATAAACAAACATGAACCCTGGTTTGGAGAAGGTAACCCTTTCTACTTCACTAGGGGCAAGATTTCAATGCTGTTCCTTCCGCAATCTTCCTTCACAACAGGGATGCTAAAAAGACGAATGGAAAAAGGATACTTATGAACGGACCAGTGTCTTTCACTTTTGGGATTACTGGGTTCTTTTTGTTCTTAAAAGTCAAATTTGGTAGTAAGTTGAAAGGGTATGATGGAGTGCACGGTAGGAGGTTCAGACTCGACATCAGCCTCATTTGTTTTGTTCTTCTTTGGGCCTCCACTGAAGAAAAGGCCAGAGTTTTCTAGGGCAGCAATATTAGAAGACATGATGGTATGAAATTTGTGAAGATTTTACTGAGATAGTTGAATTTTGCAGTAGAAGAAGAAGGAGTTATAAAGATAAAGAGTAAAAGGGATAAGGAGTGGAGAAGTTTATAGACGGTAAAAATCATGGTCAATATTACCTCGAAAACTGGCAAAAATATTTGCCAAATCACGGGATAACACGTGTTCGTGTCATTAAATGAGAAGAGACGTGTGTCCTTTCAAGTGTCTGAAATTGTTCAGAAACTTGTCCGCTAAGGAAAGAGGTTTTATCTACTTTCCAATAACACTAAAGTATTATCACCGAAAAGTAGGGGTTGTCTGTATGCGGTAAAATTGGTTAATGACAGTTGGACAAATGAGGAGGTGACACGTGGAACTAAAGACAGGTAAGATGTGAGTCTATAATAAGTTGGTACGGATACAAGCACGTGACTGGTGTTGTGTGAGTTTTGAAGACAGGGGAACCGATAACAAAGATTTGAATCGGATAGAATTCAATGAGTAGTCGTTACAGAGAATTTCTGCATTTATAAACAATCGTTATGCAGCCATCAATGACAGTTTAATTCTCAGTCAAGAGGAGTTTGATTTGGTGATTTTATCCCCCTAAATAGAGCTATAAATAAGAAAATTAGCATCCAATGTAGAGACAAAACAGTATGTACAAAAAAATTATAATCTGCTCCCATTCTATAGAATTGATTTCTTTGTTTTATTCTTAACTTTGCTCTTACTACTGCTATCGGAGAAGCTAAATATTTTGCCGACTTGTATTTCTTTTAAAGTTATTTCATAATCTTATTATTGTTCTTATTTCTTTCGTATTTTTGGGTCAAATCAATTCACGTGTCTATAAATCACGTTATAAATTCAACTGTACCATTTTACGGATAAATATCTGATACCTTTCTTGCATTTTTTAAGATGGATGTAGGTCTAGTATAGAGCATTCTCGATCGAAGTAAAGATGGACTTGGCTTATCTCTTTCTGTTCGGGCTTTTCGGGCTTTGGGAACCCAAAAACAAAATCTTTTGACTTGTGAATCAATATATAGATAGATAAGAGATTGATATTATGCTTCTAGTATGGCGAAAACTATGAAACAAGTTGAATTCGCTGAAAAACTTCTAGTGTTCGAAGTCCCAGAGGTGCGGACTAAATGATAGAAGTTTATGTGCAAACACATAATTATGTATTCATCAAATGATTTGGTGTAAACACCGAATCATAAAACATTATCGACGATAAATGTTCGATGTTTTTGGTTTGACTTGCGTTTATTGTTCAGAAATCAAAGTATTCTCTAGTAAAAGGTGAAACTAAAGTTTAAAATTAAATAGTCTCTCTCTCTCTTTCTATCTATCTATCTATCTATCTATTTATCTATCTATCTATCTATCTATATATATATATATATATATATATACACACACACATCAATACAACAATAACAACAACAACTACCCAGTAAAATCCCACCAAGTGGGGTCTGGGGAGGGTAATGTGTACGCAGACCTTACCCCTACCCGATAGGACAGAGAGGCTGTTTTCGATAGACCCTCGGCTCAGAAAAACGGAAATAAAAAAAATAAAAAATAAAAACAAGAAAAGAAAAAAAAAACAAGAAAAGTCAACTCATTAGTAACTCCAGTAGAAACCGTAATAGTAACAGAAGCATAACAACCAAAAGATGAATGACATGCAATAACAGTAAACAGTATCTAAGGCCCGGGGCTAAGATAAACAGCAAGTATAGAGTGTATTCAACATAAACCGCAAGCCATCTAAGATCAACCCTAATCCAACCCCGCCTCACCCCCGGTATGAAGTAAGGAAAGTTCTACTACCCCTAACCTACAACCCTAATGCTTGACCTCCAGACCTTCCTATCAAGTATATACACATCAATCATACTTCAAAATAAATGGGTTCGACATGAGTATGATTCATCTTATAGATTTAAGTTATATATATTGTAAATATCTTTTACGCTATCAGTATAACTTAATCTATTATAATGGTTATTTATTATTTTTATGAAGTTACTAATATTTATTTGATAATGTATCCTTAATTACCTTATAATTGACCTATTCGTATGAATAGTTTTGACATCATTAGTAAATAAAACATACACTTATTTAAGGAAAACTCACGCACGCTAACAATTTTCCGTTTTTCTATTTATTTTATTACTATTAATCTATCTATATAGAATAGGAGAAGTAAAGCCATATTATTGTGCCAAGTGTCAAAACGACATATCAACACGTGTCATGTTTTAGGACATAACTCCAATAAATTTGGAGATTCAAAAAAAATTTAAAAAGAAAAAAAATACAAAAATTAAATAACTAGCCAATTCAGAAACGTGACAGTTACCACTTACATTGTTAGTAGTAATAAGAAACGTGAGTGGTAACAGTTACCACTTACATTGTTAAACTACCATGACACGTTTTGATGGTAGATTTTCTATCCTTTTTATGTATTTTCACGGTAAAATAAAAAAAAATTCCAAAAAATAGATTATACATGGCATAATTAAAGGACAAGTTTTAAATTATTTTTTTTTAAATTTGAGTCCACGTTTTAAGTCCCACGTTTGTGTGCCCAAGAGTCCGCGTTTGTGTACCTATTTCAGTCCCACGTTTTTTGGACTCCTACGTTCAGTTTTTTAAATTTCAGATTTCTTTACTTTTTTAAAAATAAGTATTTCTTTATTATAAATAAATTAACTGATTTTAGATATACGGTTTTTAATGTTTAACTTTTAAAAAATAAATCTGATTTAGATTATTATTTAAAATTAAAAATTAAAAATGGCACATTTTAAAAATACTCTTTTAACTTTGTAGACTTTTTTTTTATTAAAGAGCTTTATTTAATTCAAAATTTTCAAATTTATTTATTTCTAATTGATTATATGATCTTAAAACATACATTTTAACAAATTAACTAATTCAAAATTATTTGGAAATAAAAACTCCTTCAAAAATCGATCATCTACTTTTGAACCATGAAGACCATAAATTTTTACGTATTTTACTCTTTAACTTTAAAAAGAAAACTGATTTAAAACATCACATTTAAAACCCACTTTCCCTAAATTTTCTCTCCAAAACCTAACCTAAGGATAATGGACAATCGCTCAACCACGCACAACTCACGAAACATACGCAGATTGAAACCCACAAAACATACTTCTCCAAACTAGCGGCCAACTTCCATTTCTCCCGTGTTCTTAAACTCAAATCTCGCTAAAAAAATTCAAGGAAACATACGGTTTATGAAAAATATTAATCAAGGCTGTAACAATTTCAAAAAGGCAATATGTGGGAAGTACCAAATCGTTAGAATCCTGACGCTATATTCTCGATTGAATTGGTTCTACCAGAAGAAAAGGTATTAAAAATATATTATTGTCTTATATTTTGTTTTGGTAACTCTGTTTTTTTAATTTGCATGTGTGCGCATTCATGGGATAATCGGTAGCAAAACTCGATTGAAGATTCAGTGCACCAGACATATGTGTCCTCAAATATCTTTCTCGGTGATATACAGATACATGTATCACGTTTTGCTTCTCTATTTTTTATTTGCAAATTTGGCTTTTTTGATTTGCTATTTGTATATTTTTTTTTAATTTCTATGTGCATATACACGGGATAATCAGTAGCAAAATCCAGTATTTAAGTTGCAGATTTCCGTTAAATTGTATATTTTAGGTCTTTTTTTTTAACTCAATTATTTTCTTATATTTGTTTGGATCCCTAATATTCAAGGCATATATGAAGAGAAGGAATGCGAGGTAAGTACATCGATCACTTTTAATTTGTCCTTTAAGATGACACTTATTTTACTTATACATGTGAATACATATATTTGACAATAACATTTTTAGATCTGGTCAAACTCGGATTCTTCGAAAGATACACGAAAAACTTGATTATTAGAATTCAAGGGTTTATATTCAGTATTAAACTTTTCGTTCTTTTCGTTCTTCACAACCAATTTTTCACTTTTCGTTCTTTTTGCTTCTTTCTTTTCTGTTATAAATTGTTCAATAAAACATGAAATACACTACTAAGAATCGAGTTTCATCTATCATACCATAATGAATTACATTTTGCGTTAAGTTAAGTTACAAGAGACTCTGTTGTACTTTGTTGAAATTTAAGGTCTTGCTTGAAACTTTGTAAATTCTTGAAACTATACCAACGCATACAAAATGTCATCTATTCTGATTTTTCAAATGTGGAATGATTATCATATAAAAGTTCTACAATCTTTATCTCCAGAAACTATAGAACAATGTATATGAATATACACATATATTTTTCATTTTCACTTTTACCTTTCACTTTTTTTTCTTGGGAGAATGAACAGCGTCGTGAAAATAAACTTTGTAGACTAGAAAAATAACTTGACAACATTACATCGTTCCATTTTGCTGATATGTGAATGTGTAATCTGACAAATCTCCCTGAAATTTTTCAGTCAAATAGTAATTTTTTAGTTGTTAAATTATCTATCTATATTTGCAGGCAATCACTTTATTTTAAATTGTACAGTTGCAGGAAGAAGGACTAACAACCATAATTTCACTTTTCATTGGCTGCTTTTAGGTATGACATAGTAGTTAGAACAAGTTATTAGTAAAGATATAATAAAATTATTTGAATATAAAAATCAAACTGTTATGGTGTTAAATTTTCATATTAGTTTTATGGAATAACAGAATGTAAACATTTGTTTGGAATAAAGCTGACACATTACAGTTTGAATTTTACGTATGTGCATATACATGGGATAATTAGTAGCAAAATCTAGTATTTAAGTTGCAGATTTCCGTTAAATTATATATTTTAGGTCTTTTTTTTTTTTTTAACTCAATTATTTTCTTATATTTGTTTGGATCCCTAAAATTCAAGGCATATATGAAGAAAAGGAATGCAAGGTAAGTACATCGATCACTTTTAATTTGTCCTTTGAGATGACACTTATTTTACTTATACATGTGGATACATATATTTGACAATAACATTTTTAGATCTGGTCAAACTCGGATTCTTCGAAAGATACACGAAAAACTTGATTATTAGAATTCAAGGGTTTATATTCAGTATTAAACTTTTCGTTCTTTTCGTTCTTCACAACCAATTTTTCACTTTTCGTTCTTTTTGCTTCTTTCTTTTCTGTTATAAATTGTTCAATAAAACATGAAATACACTACTAAGAATCGAGTTTCATCTATCATACCATAATGAATTACATTCTGCGTTAAGTTACAAGAGACTTTGTTGTACTTTGTTGAAATTTAAGGTCTTGGTTGAAACTTTATAAATTCTTGAAACTATACCAACGCATACAAAATGTCATCTATTCTGATTTTTCAGTTGTGGAATGATTATCATATAAAAGTTCTACAATCGTTATCTCCAGAAACTATAGAACAATGCATATGAATATACACATATATTCTTTATTTTCACTTTTACCTTTCACTTTTTTTTTCTTGGGAGAATGAACAGCGTCGTGAAAATAAACTTTGTAGACTAGAAAAATAACTTGACAACATTACATCATTCCATTTTGCTGATACGTGAATGTGTAATCTGACAAATCTCCCTGAAATTTTCCAGTCAAATAGTAATTTTTTAGTTGTTAAATTATCTATCTATATTTGCAGGCACTCACTTTATTTAAATTGTACAGTTGCAGGAAGAAGGACTAGCAACCATCATTTCACTTTTCATTGGTTGCTTTTAGGTATGACATAGTAGTTAGAACAAGTTATTAGTAAAGATATAATGAAATTATTTGAATATAAAAATCAAACTGTTATGGTGTTAAATTTTCATATTAGTTTTATGGAATAACAGAATGTAAACATTTGTTTGGAATAAAGCTGACACATTACAGTTTGAATTTTACGTATGTGCATATACATGGGATAATCAGTAGCACAATCCAGTATTTAAGTTGCAGATTTTCGTTAAATTGTATATTTTAGGTCCTTTTTTTTAACTCAATTATTTTCTTATATTTGTTTGGATCCCTAATATTCAAGGCATATATGAAGAAAAGGAATGCAAGGTAAGTACATCGATCACTTTTAATTTGTCCTTTGAGATGACACTTATTTTACTTATACATGTGGATACATATATTTGACAATAACATTTTTAGATCTAGTCAAACTCGGATTCTTCGAAAGATACACGAAAAACTTGATTATTAGAATTCAAGGGTTTATATTCAGTAGTAAACTTTTCGTTCTTTTCGTTCTTCACAAGCAATTTTTCACTTTACGTTCTTTTTACTTCTTTCTTTTCTGTTATAAATTGTTCAATAAAACATGAAATACACTACTAAGAATCGAGTTTCACCTATCATACCATAATGAATTACATTCTGCGTTAAGTTAAATTACAAGAGACTCTGTTGTACTTTGTTGAAATTTAAGGTCTTGCTTGAAACTTTATAAATTCTTGAAACTATACCAGCGCATATAAAATGTCATCTATTCTGATTTTTCAGATGTGGAATGATTATCATATAAAAGTTCTACAATCGTTATCTCCAGAAACTATAGAACAATGCATATGAATATACACATATATTCTCCATTTTCACTTTTACCTTTCACTTTTTTTTCTTGGGAGAATGAACAGTGTCGTGAAAATAAACTTTGTAGACTAGAAAAATAACTTGACAACATTACATCGTTCCATTTTGCTGATATGTGAATGTGTAATCTGACAAATCTCCTGAAATTTTCCAGTCAAATAGTAATTTTTTAGTTGTTAAATTATCTATCTATATTTGCAGGCAATCACTTTATTTAAATTGTACGGTTGCAGGAAGAAGGACTAGCAACCATCATTTCACTTTTCGTTGGTTGCTTTTAGGTATGACATAGTAGTTAGAACAAGTTATTAGTAAAGATATAATGAAATTATTTGAATATAAAAATCAAACTGTTATGGTGTTAAATTTTCATATTAGTTTTATGGAATAACAGAATGTAAACATTTGTTTGGAATAAAGCTAACACATTACAACAACTAAAAGAAAAGAAATGTTAGCAAATTTATATCTTCAGAATTCTATAAAGTGCATGTACTCTCTTAATCAGTTAAATAAGAACATATTATAAATATAAAGTGTTTAGCAATATAGCTATTTGATACAGAATTGTCAAATCCTTTCAAATATCAATATAGCTATTTCAAAGTGTGTAATTAGCTACTTTATATTTATATTGCTATCTCCCTAGGAATGCTAATGTTTAGAATGTTCACTTAGTACAACAATTTCATGGAGGCATGTATGACTCGCAGTAAGAAAAGAAGTGACTAAATATTCATGGACGTGTATGCACTCTTCGATGCGTGACTACTCTTCCAATATCAAGTTTCAAATCTATTATATGCTTTTTTGCTACGAGTCATGTGTCTAGAACTCTGCTCCTTTTCCATCTGAAACTCTATGCTCTTTTACATGTATATGCATTTCTGTCTAGGCTCAGTTCGTTATCATATTTATCAATATGATGGTAATATGACTGCTACCTGTTCATGAGAACTGTGGCTATTCCTCATGCCCTTTTTGATAAACATGCCGTTGTTTCTCCAGTTGTGTTGTAGGTATCCTTTGCGAATCTCTTTATTACCTTTTTATGTTGAGATTTACTTTTAGGTGTCCTTGTGAATCTCTTTGGTGTTTTGACTTGCATCAGTACTGTTAGTAAGTAAAACAGTACAATAGAGGCTTGCTCCTATATTTTAGAGGCTTGCTCCTATATATTCCTCTTTATTTTCTTTCTTTTTTCTTGTGATATGTATAAGCAGTACAAAAATGTTTGTGGTAGCCATTAGACATAATTCTCCTAACTAACTTTTTAAAGCAAAGTTGCATCGTTCTTTCTCCTTCTCTTTATCTTCTTAGAAATATATACAAGGATGTTTTGGTTTGCATAATCACTTTACTACAATCAAGCGTGGCATTTTATTGTAGTTACTTCGGAAAGACTTGTGCATAGTCAAATCCTTGATCTGGACAGGTACTAAAATAATTTCTTTTTATTCTGAACTTATGTTATTTTTAGGTGTCCTTTGTGAATCTTTTTGTTATTTTGGCTTGCATCATTACTATTAGTAAGTAAAATAGTACAATAAAGGGTTGCTTTTTTTCCTTTTTTTCTATATTTTTTTCTTCTGTGATCTGTAGAAGCAGTACAAAAATATTTATAGCAACCATTAGACATACTTCTACTAACTAACTTTTTGAAGCAAAGTTATTGTCTACCCTTCATTTAAATACCAAGATTTTGCCTTCGGCAAGTTTCAAACGTAAAATCATTTTCTATTTTCCTTTTTTCTACTTTCCCTTTCATTCATCCACAATCAGAGGATAAATCTCACAGAAAAGTATTCTGCTTGCACTTTTTTCTTTAGAAAACTTACCTATGACTAGATTTTTCATATAGCATCTTCATAAAAGAATTACCAGAGGTTGTAGTTGGTGAATCAATTTGCTTGAAACTCTCATAGTTATAGTTCATTTTCTTTAGTAACAACTTCTTTCATTTTCAGGTGAACTTGCTGTAAATCTTGGTTGCAAATATTGCCATATGCATTCTTTTCCTCTTAGACTTTCATCTTTCACTCCGTATTGCACCCTATCTCAGGGGGGGTGTTCTTTATTTTGAACATTAGGTATGCCATAGTCCGATTTCTATCTTTTTACTTTCTAAGTTTAGTCATGATCTCTTTGACTCTATGTTCAAGTTTATGTTAATTTTCTTTACCCAAACTTTTTCCTCCAAGTTATCTCACATTTTACATTTTGTTAGTCTCTTTTCTTTTACTCAATTATATGAAATATAACCAGAAACAGGACTATGACTATCATGCACAATACACAGTTTTAGGCTGTGTTCTGTTATACACAAGTATTTAGAGAATTGAGCTTTTAATTGTTTTACAAAATATCAAGCAAATATCATATAGTTCTATTATATTAGAAAATGATAGTTTCATGAGTATGTTTTTTCATTGTCCATAATGCTTTAATTCCCACCCTTCCCCCACCGCACCAAGGAAGGAAGGTGTGCTTGATCTTCTAAGAGAGGAAGTAAATAAATGATAGCGAATGATAGTTGAAATAGAGTATAAGATTAAGAATATAACTTCCTCCTCATAGTTTATGTTTACTTTTTTCTTTTGATTTTTCTTTTTCTCCCGCAAGAAGAATTGCTTATTAAGATACGAATTTTATCATGCAGGTTGTTTATACATTTCTGATTTAAGATATTGCGGTTGTAGCAGTGAGTGTTGAATTCCATTAAAGAAGTTCATTTGCTTCATGTTTTAGTATTTCAAATAGATGAAGGTGATGTAAATCTTATGTTCTAGAGTGGATTGCAAATTGCAGTCTTATATTATTTGTCATTTAACCACGTTTTTTGCTTTTACAATTTGCAGAGTATTTCTTGCAAACAAGTACTATTCTTGCAGCATTAGTTGCAGCGTTTGCTTTTTTTCTTTTAATCGATCCGCGCATCGCGCGGGTACATATACTAGTAAGGGAGAATCGAAAGGAGCTTCTGGTCAATGTGAATTGACCAAAAAACGGAGTAAAAAATAATCAGGTAGCTCTACGTCATAGGGTTAATTAGGTCATTCCCCAAATATTTCCAGATACGCGTGGACATTTTGCAGCAAACTAAGGCCAAATTGAACTTTTCTTCCACGCGCCATCTTCAAACACGATCACTTAATCTGGGCCCCACTTGAATAGGTGGATCTCTTGGAGGTCCTTTTTTTCCTTATACTGAGATATAAATAAATAGAGTTTTTTGCATGGATGATCTCTTTATAAAAATTATTTTCTTAACTATAGTATTGTCACGACCCTAGTTCACCAACCGTAAATATGTCATGACGGCACCTGGTCCCCATGACCAGGTAAGCCTAACATTTGCGGAAATATATTAATTGCGAAAAATAGAGAAAATCAAATCAAATATCTAAAGGAAACTGTACTGAATGCCGCTTGGCAAGTACAACTCAATATCACAAGTCTAAAACAATTCCCAAAACCCGGAAACTCATGGGCAACACAGGCTACAGAAGTTTATAGTATAGGTTCCAAACTCCAGAATTTCTAACAACCGAAAAAAGGAAAACTAAGTACTAAAGATATAATAAGAGGGAGACTCGTCGGTCTGCGGACGCAGCAGATCTACCTCGAAGTCTCCGTAGTCCTCCTGCCTCAATGATAGTGCGCCTGAGTGGAGGTACCTGGATGATCTGCACATGAAAAACATGCGCAGGAAGGGCATGAGTACACCACAGCGGTACTCAGTAAGTGCCAAGCCTAACCTCGGTTGGGTAGTGACGAGGAAGGTCAGGGACATACTGAGACAGAATATACTAATAACAATAATTAACAGTATGATAATCTGACAGAAATAATAAATACAGCAGTGAAATAAGACAGGTTAAACAAGGCAATAGCAAATACACAAGAACGGAACAACCACAGAATAAGTACAGCTCGATACCAATGGTAACAATGAGGATCTCTCAGGATACCGTCCTGTAGTCCTTTTCTCAACTGTCCAGTAGATCTCCCGGGATACCGTCCCGTAGTCCATCATATGTGTATATCCGAAGGATCTCCCGGGATACCGTCCCGTAGTCCAACTATCAATGAGCAGGGGGATCTATCGGAAATCTAACCCGCAGTCCCAAAGTAAAAGTGCAGGGGAATCTATCGGGAATCGAACCCGCAGTCCCAAAGTAAACAAACAAGGGGGGGAGCTACCGGAATCCCACATCCGTAGTCCCAATGTAAATGCGCAATCACAACCAGAAGGTACACGGAAACGAAGTACAAAAGACAAGCAACAGGTTGTACTG